CCGCTTCCCGGGTGGGGAGCCGTAATCATTGCCCCGGATTATCGGCTCGCTCCTGAGAATCGGCTCCCAGCCGCAATCGAAGACGGCTTGGCGGCTCTTAAGTGGCTTCAAACTCAAGCCGTGAGTAATGAGCCGGACCCCTGGTTGAGCCACGTGGCTGATTTTAGCCGCGTGTTCATTTCGGGTGACTCGGCTGGAGGAAACATAGCTCATCATTTAGCGGCTCGGCTTGGGTGCGGCTCGCCCGAGCTGGCTCCGGTTCGGGTGAGGGGCTATATTCTGTTGGCCCCTTTCTTTGGTGGAACAATCCGAACCAAGTCGGAAGCTGAAGGACCAAAACATGCTTTTCTAAATTTAGAACTCATTGATAGGTTCGTAATTTAAATATATTCTCTTTATATTTTGGTGGGCATAGGACAATTTTGGTTCGATTTTGTTGATTAAGGTCTATGTTTTAATTGTTTTTGTTCCTTAATGAGTAGGTATTGGAGGCTTTGTGTACCCGTTGGGGCCACTAGTGATCACCCTCTCGTGAATCCGTTTGGGCCGAATAGTAAGAGCCTTGAAGGAATTAATCTAGATCCAATTTTAGTGGTGGCTGCTGGAAGTGATTTGCTTAAAGACAGGACAAAGGATTACGCAAGGAGGCTTAAGGAGTGGGGTAAAGATATAGAGTATGAAGAATTTGAAGGACAACAACATGGGTTCTTTTCTACTGATCCCAACTCTGAATCATCCAACAAGTTGATGATGGTTATCAAACAATTCATGGAGAAGCATCTAGGGAAAGTTTGAAGGGAGGTTTTAAATTTAAACACTACTACAACAGTACAACATGCATGTGTTATTGTAGTACTTTTACGTTTAACTCATCATATACTAGGTTTTGGTACGAACGATGAGGATAAATAATACATGATAAAGTATGCATTACCCAAAAGGTGTTTGTGTTGAACTGCAATTACAACAAAACTTTTCTCTTCAAAGCTAATATATGCTCTACAAAAATGACGGATTAGTATGTGTGTATATTGCAACTTTAGAAGGGAGTTTAGGGAGAGAAAAAAAACTATTTTCCCAAAAATAAGTAGATCAAGCAAGCATTTAATACAAGCAAAATAGAAAAATAGTGATATCTCCAGAAGTAGAAGCAACATGGTATTTTACTATTTTGTGTTAGATTTTGCCAGAAATATTCATAAATAAGTTTACAAGGTGAATATATACAATCATGTATTAATATCGTGTTGGAGTGTAGGTATATTATGTTTCAAACAGAAGAGACCATGCAGACTTTTTCTACAAATCAGATTAGCAAACAGGATTCATCTTTTGAGGTCTTGGAAAATGGAAATAGATCGACACTTTCTATCTGTAACACAATAACAAATACGGTCTACGTTCACAAAGGGATAAATATTCAATTGTATTACATATTGGATATTATGCGAGTATTTCAAAACTTAATTTTGAACAAATTTCTTTAAAGAAGAAAAACTCTGCTTTGGAAAAGAATGTCTCGGTCTGCTTGGATTTATACTTTTATTTTTCTTTTGAAAATGTTGCACGATATTGAGTCTTCTTTTTTAATTTAGCTTCGAAACGCGTGGTGAATAGTCTTTTGAGCTTTAATTTTGCTGAAGCAGTAACTCGCTCCATTTAAATGACAGTGGAACTTGTACCTAATAATTGGAGATGGGCATATCAAGTTCTATGGCTTCAAACCTAACGCACTTTTATTTCTATTCTTTGGTACTTGGTAGAATATAAACATGAATATTTGATGATCTGGTTATTGTTCTATTATTCTGTTCTGTTCTATCCTTTCTGCTGTAAATGTTAAATTAAATATATTATTTATTGTGATTATCAACATCTTATAGATATCTTACTTTAGAAGTACTCTTAAATATTATTTTAATTATTATAAAATGAATAAATTTTAATTTTGATAAAAAAAATTTCATCTCTCAATTTAAAATTATTCACATGTGGCAAGAGAAACTACTCTGGATACCTTTTTTTAGCTAAAAATATTTTCAGAAAAATAATTAATAGAGACAATTTTATAGACAAGTAATAAGTCGAAAAAAGTATTTTCCTTTTACCAATATCAAAAATGTTTGTTTTCTTATTATACTCTTAATTATTATTAAATAATTTTAATTATCGGTGAAAATCCAAAATTTTTAAGATTGAAAAGTAGCATCCTTTCTTCATTCCTTTTTAATTGTCAATTTTTAAAAAACTAAAATTTGAAAATTCAAGACAAAATAATTACTTCTTATCAATTATATCCTTATATATATGTCACTTAACTTTTAAAATATTAAAGATTAATATATCTTTATTACAAAGCAAACATAAAAAGAGTATAATAAGAAAGATTGATATCATTTTATGGAAACATTTTATGTTTCTTAGTTTGAGTATATAATATCTATAAACGACTATTAAAAAAAAAACAAAAATAGTAATTTATCTTATAAAATAAATATATTAATTATATTTCTTAAATTTTTTATCAAAATTTTAAACGTGCATAAAATTTATTAATTATAAATATTTAAATATATTTTTAATCTTTCAAATTTAGATTAAATTTATTTTTGTCTCTTAAATTTAAAATTATTATTTTTAATCTCTATAACCTTTTTAAATCTTGTTATCAGTAACAACAGATTTATACAATATTCTTATTAATAAAAATATCAATAAATAAATTTTATACGATAAGATTATAAGTTTTTTAACAAAATTTGAATATAAAATTAAACTAATTTTTAAAAAATTATAAAGATTAAAAAATCAATTTTAAATTTAAACAACTAAAAATAAATTTTCCTTCAATTTGAGGATTAAAGAAGCCGATTATAAATCCTCTATATACTATATAGAATGGAAGTCATAGATGTTACAGGTAAAATTAAGTATGAACTAAAGTATAGTATGACATATATTTATTTTTCAGAGAAGACAGCATAGTTTGTACAATTAAGAAAAAAGAAGCATTATTAATTAATTGAAGGAAGAAAGTGAAATTGGGTTCGACATAAATTGTAAACAGCAGTGGAGTTCTGCAACAAAAAATCAAATTGAAGACGTAAGCTTTGGTCACCATAAATTGGAAATGCCATATGTTTCTCTTGAGTGGGGACTCGTTCTGGATGATTCCGTAATCCATCACACTCATCCAGCATGGAATTCTACTGCCCAAATGCCAAGACAAGGTCAACAACACCACTCTTCCTTCCTAATCGATCGTAACTTTCAAAGTCTAGCATGTATATAACTCCATTTCTTCTCTCTTTGTTTCTTTTGTCGTCTCTCACCCCATCAAAATCGGTTATCTAAGACGGCACCATCTAGATCATGCATATATACAAACACAAAACAAAAACATTTTCGTACAGAGACAAAACAAATTAAAAAAAGATATACTTATAATTAACAAGGTGAATTTGCGACGACGATCATGAAATTGTTATATATACTTATAATTATTTGTAGAAACGAAGGAAAAATAAAAGATATGTACAATGTTTCTCCACATAATTAAACATTAGCGGAGTTTAAACGAGGATTGTGAGATAGATAGATAGTTGTTATATATATGTATGTGATGTTTTAGAAAAATAATTACAAATTAAAAAAAATGATGTCCCATTGGAAAAGCGTAACGTGGAAGTGTGATTGGTTAGGGTAGACGCTGGGATTCGCTGCGCCAGAAACCGGTAGCGGCGAAGCGGGCCCACATCTCCTTCTCGAGGCCCTGGACGTACTCGTCCTGGTCGTGGGCCTTGTCGCTCTTGAGAAACTCCTCGAGACGCGCGGAGCCGAAGGTGATGTCGGTGCTGCAGCGGTGGGGCTGGAGCAGGACGACGTCGTTTATGTTTTTGTTATTGTTTTTGGTCAAACGGCGTCGTCGCTTGCGCGCGGCCTTCAGGACGAGGCCCTTGGGGAGCTTGTAGACGGCGAGGACGAGGATGTTGAGGACCGTGCAGGGGCAGCAGCATGCCACGGCGGTGCAATCGGCCGCGGCGCCACCCGCCACCTCTCCGACGGCGCGGCGCGGGGGGCGGTGCGGACGGACGATGACTTGAGGCATTGGTTGAAACTTGAAAAGGAGCGGTGAGGGGTTTGGGTTTGGGATTTTAAGGATGCGATGTTTATGTGATGTTTTAGAAAAATAATTACAAATTAAAAAAAATGATGTCCCATTGGAAAAGCGTAACGTGGAAGTGTGATTGGTTAGGGTAGACGCTGGGAAAGAGGTTGAAGAGATTATAATAGATAACGGTTGTTAACAATGGACGTCAGTTACGTAAGCGCTTCTCCCACTCCCGTTACTGCACTTGTATTGTATGTTCAGAGAAATACATATATACCTACGTATTCTATCTATTTAATTTTATCATAATCATCTAATTAAATTTAAACATATTAATTATTTTTTAGGAATGCAAATGTAGTAATAACTAATATTTTAAAAATTTACGCTTCCTGTCTTCCGTATTTAATTTAAAAATGTTATCAAAACTATATGAATTAACTTATATATTATAAATAGTATAGAAAAAGCACTTTGTATTTGTCTATTTCTTTAATAATAAAATAACTAAAATTAAATATGTATGGATAGTTAATAATTAGAGTGTGTAAGCGATTTTAAATAATTATTTAAAATATATAAAAATTTGAAAAATAAATTTGTTAAAAATAAAAAAGATAAAAAATTAAATAAAATAAGCATGAGAGAGAGAAAATATTTAAAAATTTTAGGTGATGAAACAATTAATAGACACTAAAATAGTGCCTTTATCAATAGTGAGATTATCAAATTAAACTTGAAGATGTTTAAAGTTATTATCTATAAATCAATCTGAAAATATTTGGAGTTGTTATTTCGTTTATTGCATCATATTTTAAATTAATATTTGCAAATCTATTTACATCTATTCTTGATTTATTAAGAAATATTTTAATTTACTTTTGAATTTATTTTTCTCTATTATTAGGTATTAACATGAGGATCGTATCATGTTATTGAGATCTATATCATACAGTAATATTATAATTTTTAATTATTAAAATTGATTTCTTATTAGTATAGTTTACACTATGTACTATATAAGATAAATGTTTATATATATAACTAAAATTTATAATAAATAAATATATTTAAATATATAAATTATAATATAATTAAAATTTGTAATAAATAATTTATAATATATAAATTATTTTAACTATTGATAAATTTAATATATACCAAAATTCAATTTAAATATAAAATGAAAAAATATATGTTGAAAATAATTTAAGAAAAATTATATAAAAAAATCCCATTGAAAGAAAAATTCACCAAAAAAAAAATGCTTTAGTTGGATTAGCATGAATCGAATTTGAAAATGAAAAATCGTTCGATTCAATCACATTCACTTCAGTTTTCTTAATTCATTATCCAATCAATTTGATTTAAAATTTAAATTTGGTTAGTTCTATTCAATATAAAGCGGATGTTTTCAGTTTTGATCTTACTTTTTATTTATCTTTGGAAAATATTGAATATTTTATGTATAATTTTTCGTATAATAATAGTATAACTCTTCAATAAATATTATTAAAAAATTATTCAAATTGAAGATTAAATTTACATGTTTTTATCAAACAATTACTAAAATTTTATATTTCCAAGGCCATTTCCCCTTTTTAGGTTTTGCATTTTATGATGTCTCTTCCATAACAAACTTACGACTGATGAGAATCTTAGGATATGTGGCATAATCGTAGCATTGGTATGTAGTCTTTGTAGTGTATCTATAAAAACTGATGATCATCTGTTTCTTTAGTATCCGTTTGTGATCACTCTTTGAAACTGGTTCCAACATATTAATTATTTGATTAATCTCACATTCCTCATTACCTTATTGCTACTTTGAATTCGAAGGAGCTAGAGCTACCAAGTTAAGGCTTAACTTAGTTGTTGCACTAGTGCATATTATTTTGGTGATTTGGAAAAATCAAATTAAAGTTTAGAAACATTAACACTAGTTTAGCCCATGTCATTTCTCTAGTTCTTTCTTCCTCTTCCATTTCTTTTATCTTTGTTTTATAAATATTTTTTAATTAAGAAAAACTAAATTTAAAGTTGATGAGAATTTGAGAATTTTTCCCTTATGAGAATTTTTTTTATACTTTCTTTTTATCTTTAATAATTGTAATTGCACTCTATTTCTTAACCCAAGCTACTCTTGAAGTCTTGATCCTTCTAGAATAATTGAGAACTGGACCGAGAGGGGTGACATTCATACGTCGACAATAAAATAATTATTTAATTAATTATACGCGGAATTAGAGCAGATTTTGATTACTAGTTGACTTTGATGTCTATGTCAATTCTAGATTGATTACAAGGTTAGGTGCCCTCGTCTGATTTCAAAGTCGTTTTTAATTGTGACCATTTCAATAATTTTTTTAATAAGATGTTATTATTATACTAGTGCATATTAGCATGTAATAAACTTCTAATTGAAATTTATAATAAATAAATATTTTTAATATATAGATTATATTATGATTAAAATTTATAATAAAAATATTTTGATCA